GAGTTGCAATTATAGGTACACCCCAACAACACCTGACTTTTAAAAACATGGGTGCTGAGGGTGCAGCTTAGGTACTTTATCTTGCACAGCAAACACTTCACCAATGGAACAATCTCCCCAGCCCCTAAAAGGTCAAGATTCTGATGGACCACAGTTAAAATGTCAGTGAGTCCTGCTAGAGACTATAAAAGAGGGTGCACTGCCTGACTAAAGTCAACATATAGATCCCCATGACAGCAATTCACACAATTTTAAAATCTACACACCCACAATGTCTGCACTGGTGGCCTTTTGGCACTGTAATAAATACCAACTACAGAGCTCACACTCAAGAAACATTGGGTTACCAAGACAAATGCATTTTTAAAAATCTTATGTTTTAGTAAGTTTAGGATTTTGTGTCAGGCCCTATGGGAGTTACCTGAGAGTACATTTTGTCCTCAGGCCATGGATCACACATACATGGCACTGAACTTCTGGCAGCAACAAGAAGGCTCCAAAGGAAAAGCCATCTTGAGAAAGTTTGAAAGGTTTCATAAACTTTAGATGCTTTTCAGGACAAAAGGCTCTCTGCAAGATTTCTCATCTCTATGGACTGAGGCTGGGCATGGTGGCACAAACCAATAATCTCAGTATTTGGAAGGATAAAGAGGATTAAGATTTCAAAGCCACCCTGGGCTACACCACAACATGCTATCTCCAAAAAGTTTTTCAATGGATTAAAATTCCTTTTGTCTCTTGCCTAGAACCAAAGAGCCCTGTAGAAGCCCTTTCTAGTTTTTAGCTCTGTGCTTGCATGTTACCAGTATTCCTTGAGAGCAGGGTGGTTTTATGAGGCTCTGATCATTACTGTGGAAAACCAAAGAGGACAACAAAATATGCACAGCTTTTTTCACTTAGACAATGCTTAACAAACCAGGCGGTTCTGTCAATCACGTGTTTGCCACACAAATAGGAAGACTGAGTTCCGATCTCCATCTCAGCAGCTCACATAAGGAAGAGAGTGTGAAAGTGGGAGAGGACTGTGCGGCTGTGGTCCTGGAGCTGGGTGTGCATAGATATAATTAAGTTATACTATCTATGTGGATGGAACAGTTAAAGAATAAACTCTTAAAAATAAAGAACACTGTGTCTCCATCTACTGAGTATGAGTTATTAGGATCCAGTCAAAGCAATGCCCTGGAACTTCTAAGGAAGACTTATTAGAAACTACTCAGGTCTCTTGAAACATTCTCTCTAGACTATCCCTCATGGAACACAGCCACCATGCTGTGCAAAGTCCATGGCTCAGGGCCTTAGGTCAACAGCCCCTCCTGCATTCCCAGACAACAGCCAACATCAGCTGCTAGTCATGTAAGTGACCCATTTGGACTTCTGCCTGTTCAGGCCTTCAGATGTAACTGTATCCACAGTCCTACCTAGCCAACATCCATCTGCCTATAACTGCACAAGAGATCTACAAAAAGAAATGCCTGACTATCTCTTCCCAAATCTCTGAACCACAAAATCATGAACAAAATATAGCATCTTTAAGGCAATGGGTGCTGAGGAAGTTTTTACATGGTTGTATGCAACTAGAGAAAAGTTGTTACAAAACATAGCCTTCTTTCATAGAAATCCTAAACATGTGGCATTGGCTTTGTGACCAAATGCTAGACACTCGTTCTCAGGGCCTTGAAGAACTGCTTAGGAAAAATGGGAAGAAAGGTCAAGGAAGTGAGAACGTGAAAGACAAAGGGAAAAGATAGTGTTGGGGAGGTAGGGACTGAAGGAAGGAACACAAGTTAAATGCAGACAGAAGAGTTAGCATAAAATTTGCTTGGAGTGCCGTGGAATGCAGAAGAGACAAGATGTGGCCAAGGACTCTAGGCAGAACGTTAAAAAGCACTTCTCACAGCCACATATGATACTCAGGGAAGAGAGGGATGGATCCAAGAGAAGACTGTTTGAGGCTGGGTATGGTGGATGAGGAACAAAGAGGGAGGGAAGATGATCCAAAAACATGTCCATAAAACCTACAGGGATTAAACAAGATCAAAGTAAACTTTCTCCCCTCTAATCTCTCTCAAAAAGTATTCTCTAATTAAGACATGTCTAATGGGCTGGGCATTGATGGCGCATGCCTTTAGTCCCAGCATTCAGGAAGCAGAGGCAGGTGGATCTCAGGGCAAGTTCCAGGACAGGCTCCAAAACAATACAGAGAAACCCTGTCTCTCGAAACACCACACACACACACACACACACACACACACACACATGTGTAATGGCCTGGAGGGTTAAGGTCAAACCCCATCTTGGCTGAGACTTCAGAGAGATGGAAGAATATGCCCCTGCAGAGGGTTTCCAATCTGAGCTGCACAATCTGCCCCTAAATACACTGTGTTCATATCTGAGGTGGGCACCTCCACAGCAGGTTCAGGTGGGGAATACAGACAGAGCCCGGTGTGATTTGAAGAATTATGTAGGTAAGATTTTGACCAGTAAATAGCCAAGATCATAGGAAAGCCCTAGTTCTCTTAAAAAAGTTGAGTTGGAAGAAAAAGGACGGCAGTACAAAATGAAGCTCAAACTTCTACCAGAGGTCATAGGCTGAGATCACAGTACAGACCTGGGCTTTGTTCCTCATAGCCAACTGATTTAACAGTTGAGCCAAGCACCAGAGAACAGGGTAATTGGAACAGTTCCATCATAAGCCCTCCTTCAGAATGTGGACCAGCAGATATCTACCCTCCCCATCTTCTAGCCAGGTGTGTTACCCCTGTACCACCATAGTTGATGGGTAGCAGACAACCTGTCCTGAACCATGTTCAAACAAACAGCTCCCAGGCACCCCCTTGCATAACTGATATGTTTATTTGTTGATTTGTTGCTTTCTCTATTATTTGTTTACTCTGGGGTGGGTTTTTTGTTTCTTGCTTTGTATTTTTGAGACAGGTTCTCACTCTGTATCCTGGTTGCCTGCAACTGATTCACAATAATCCTCTTGCCTCAGCTTCAAACACTCTGGGCAGGTGTGATTCCTCCACACCCAATGAACTTGATTGGAATAACAAAATCCTGAACATGAAGCCATTGTCACAATAAAAAGGAAGTTGGAGGCCTTGAGGGTAGTGTGTTTGTTTTCTAAAGAAATGTTTGATCACCTGAAGACAAATGGTGGTTGATTATCAGTGTCTGCCAGTTCTCTGCTGCTTTCCATATTAGTTGCTTTTCTGATACTATCCTGTCACATCTTTTTAAGGCTGGAGAACTGTATAGAGAAAACAGGTCCCCTACCCATGAATCTTAAGGGACACATTCAAACCATCTCTAAACCATGCTACATCCATAACACTACTTATTCACAAGATTCACCAAGCAGATTTAGAGTATTTTCCTATTCTATACTGGGGGATGGGGGAGAGGAGGCTAAAATTTTAAGCTTCCTACTACTTTGCTAGATTAGTATGCTAATGAGGTGAGTATGCTAATAAGGTGAGTATGCTAATGAGGTGAGTATGTTAATAATAATGAAGACAACTAAGGCTGAGGAAGAAATGCAAATTTTGCCTAGTCTCAGAAGCTTTATGAGTTTTGTCTTTACCTTCAGAGGTGATTGACATGGAAGCAGAAGGCAGGACCAGCTCTCAACATGCTTTCATACATTGGCAAGGCAGGAAACATGAGTCATCATAGATCAGGGTGTTTAGTTACACCAATGACCTAAGTTTGCAACAAAATAGGATCTCTCTCATTTCATGACAATAACGGGAGACATGCAACATTGCTTCTATCTCAGAGTTTGCTACCAATATATCTCTAAGCCTAATGAACTCCCTGCTTCTGTAGGATGAACTGGGGTGAAAGCAAACTTTGAGTTTTCATTGGGACCCTAAAAGGTGGAGGCATCTGATGCTCACATCTCCTCCCATAGTTTAAAAACATTCCCACAGAAAATGGGCTTTTCCTGTCACTATGTATGCAAGTTCAAAAATGTTTATATTGTTAAGTGTGTGTGGCCTCTATTAGAATGTATGTGTACTGCCTTTGCCAGGCTCAACCATGTAAAAAGACATGTGCAACCTTTTTACACACACTACACTGCCATCTGAAAGGGTCCATGCCCTAGAACAACATGATCAAGTCACAAAACATAACCACAGAAAGAAATCACATATTTTAGCTCACAAATTGCCTTGGTGTCACACTCCTATGTACACACTGGAGTATATGTGGTCTTAGGTACACTGGTTAGACATGCCTGCTAGGGGAAATACTTTCTCTATTGGAGTCCAGAGCATCAAATGACACTTGCTGCATGATTGATGACTATTAAGTGCCAGTACGCATATCCCCATCCTCGTGTATCTCCTATGTGCCACCACACTGCTGGCTTTCGGGTGATGAGAACTCAAATGTGCACACCCTGACCTGTGGAAGCGCCATCTCCAAACGCTGCCCCACCCACCCACAGACCCTCTCAGCTTCTCTCCCATGCTTGCTGTCTTTCTCCTGTATTTCTGCTCTACTCTTTTCCTCAAACACAGTGGGCATGCTGTCCCCCCACACACACACCATGAAATGCTCTCCTTTAGATATCTGTGAAGTTGGCTTCCTTAAATCCTGCTGGTCTGCATCCAAAAGCCCCTCCCTCTGAGCCTCCCAGGCCCCACCTCCCTCCTTCATCTCCTCCATAGCCTGTACTATCACTATATCTTCTATACAGTGACTCTTCGACTGCTACATAGACTCCATGAGGCCCAGAACGTTTGTCTCTTTTCTCTTTACCATCCTGAATCCCAAATCCATACCTACCCAATGTAAAGAAGATAAACAAATAAGTGAATGAATAAAATGACTTTATAGTGAGTACTTTTAATATGCAGCTGATGAATGGGCAACTTTGCAGCAAGCTCACTTCCAATCCACAGAACAGTAGCTTTGGTGATTTTTCTCAATAGCAATTTTTATATACATGAATGAAAGATTTATTAATATGTTTTTCTCCCTAAGATCCTGAGATCTTACTCAGCCTGCTAAAAATGTCTGAATTCTGTGTAGACATTAGAGATAAAATAGATTAAGGTGGGTACTTTTCCATTTTATGGATATAAATATCTTAATTATCTTGAGAGGCATGTATAAAGCCATAAAGCCATCACCGTGGATAATAGTGATTGCTGGCAGCTCCTAACTCTGGATGTCATCACACTGGCAAACTCCCAGGTAGAGTATGACAATTTTCTACTAATGCAGACCAAACTAATAGCAACCCAGGAGTTTCTTGATGTGTTCACAATATCCATCAGACTTACAGACTAGGCCTCACCCAGAAGCTGGATGGGATGGCCACTTGAAACATAGCATAATCACACCCAGATGACATCATGTCTTAGAAAGTTATGGGGAAAGCAGTTCCTCCATCATCCCTCATATTTTAATGCCCACACTGTTTGAATGCTTCCTGAAGTCCAGCTCGGATGTTTTCTGTTCCTATCTTGACAGTATGGTTGGAGGGCAGAAGAACAGTCAGTCAGTCTACTGAGACATAGACACCTTGTGCTTATAAAGGTAGGGTAAGATTAGTGCAGATTCTGCATTGACCCTGCCTCCTGGCTGCTTATACTCATCCTTTAATGGGGTTCCTCTGTCCTTCTCTCTGACCATCAGCCAGACAGATCATGGTAGGTATGGACTTGTCAAGAAACTATTGTTAGAGAATTTGATTACAGCACATGTGGCCTGAAGAACAAGCCTTTGTGAACCAGCTTCCATAGCTTCCATTACCAAATAATGCTGGCTGAATAAGCTTGAAGACCGGAGCTTTATCTCTAGAACATACTTTTCAATGCCAGGCATTGTGGCTGCACTTATAATCCTGACCCTGAAGAGGAGAGGAGAGAGATGCCTGAGGCTCCTGGCCAGCCAGCCTTATCTGACCTGTGATTCCCAAGTCTCTGTGAGAGACTGATTCAGAGAAACAAACGAACAGCATTTGAGGAACAACACCTGACGATGACCTCTGGCCTCAACTCACATGTGCATGTTTGTGCACTGCATCCTCGCACACAAGAACATGCACATACATATATACCTCTACACATAAACACACATGCAAAAGAATGCATCATGCACAAGACTATTGAGTACTTTGCAAAACCATACATGCCCTACTAATGATAGGTATTAACAACAACAACAGCAAATAAAGGGAAACACCACAGAGCAGACAACAAGGACTGGGACAGGACTCCCCACTGGGTTTCACATCACATGAGGCTTCAAAGGGTTGCAGGACACCTTGGAGCCTCTGCTTAGAGTCAGGCAAAGTGAAGAGAAATGGGCTCCATGGAATTTTATGAGGACCAACTGAAGTTACATAGAAAAAAACAAACAAACAAACGTGGAATCAAACAGGCAAATTGAATCAAAATTTTATTGAACTAGTAATTGATAAGTAAATACCTGGTGATGTTATATACATTACTAAACCCATCTCTAAGACGAACTCACTATCTGTTTTTGTGAACTTTCTCTTCACCAATCTGAAGCATCCTAAGTTTTTAAATCTTCACTAAATAGCACTTCCATCCCCAGCCTCTCTGGATGCTTTTTTGATATTCTTAATACTTTTTAGAGACTATTTATAGAAAGCAATCTCTACAATAATTCTGTTTAAAAGGTCAAACAGATGATGCGTATTTAATGGTTGACCAAAAAATTCAATTTTTTTTAGATCTCACCAGAAGTTCCACTGACCTTGCCCTCATTAATCTTTGTATTTCTAAAGCTCATCTCTTGAGCTTTTTCCTAATCTAATCATAGCAGCTAGAAATTACTTACTCTGTAGCAGACCCTGTCCTAAGCATTTTGCTGATAGTAACTTTTTATTCCCTCAGCAAGCTTGGACAGTAAGTGTACTGCTAACCTCACCATGCATGGGGGAAACTGAGAATCAAGGAAACAAAGACTGTGATACTAGCAAGTCACTAGCTGCAGATATGAAATTCAAGCCATATGGTTTTAGATCCTGAGATCTCAACCACTACACTGACCTTCTTATCACAATCCTTAGCCTTCCTCTCTTTGTGACTAGAGTTACCAGAAACCTGTCAGGTCTACACTTCCCACATTATAATTGTAACTGCAGAGTGCAGCTGGATCCAACAGACTTGCCACAGCCAGTCACTGGAATCAATATGATTGGCCTCTCTGTCACATGATGGCCAATTCTGAGTTTCATCATTAAGACTGGCAAGAAGGGAACTGGGGAGATGGTACCATGCATAAAATGGCCTGCCACCAAATCTAATGACTTGAGTCTGATCCTTGAGACCTATGCTATAAATAAAAGGTGGATTGAGAGAACCAATTCCCACATGTATTCTACAGACTCTGTATGTGTATACATGCATGTGCACACACACACACACACACACACACACACAGAGAGAGAGAGAGATTAATGTAAACCTTTTTTGATAGACTAACAAGAAGGACTGCTTGGCTGACATGACAGAGATTTCACAACTACACAAGGGAATGATCTGTACATGCAAAGGCTATGTACACATGGTGGGGGAAATACAGTCCCTGGCTTAGTTACCCATATACCCAACGTGGATGGTAAATATAGGATCTTACAATACAGATTTCTAATAAATCAACGAAGGACAGTGTATCTGATTTCAGGAGTGTGGTTGAAGAATTTCTCATCCTGGTCCTGGTTAATGCAACTAAAATAGCCTCATTCATGAATGTGTACAAACTGGCTTTAGACAAGGCCTTGCACAAGTCAACTTTAATCCCAAACACTTCACAAGGCATTTATAGACCCAGCTTTGTCTTGGTATACATAGAAGCTGTTTGTGTGTTTCTGACTAAATTAATGAGACAAAACAGTTTCTTTTAATGATTGTGACCCCAAGAAACAGGGTAGCCTTTTAATATGAAGCTCTTTAGAACTGTGCTCTAAAATCAAGCCAGCAACCAGCCATGTAAATGTCAAGCCTCTCTCCACATTGGCCCTAAAGACCAAATCCTAACCTCTAACACAAAACAAAAAGATAGCAAGTGAAAATTAGTGGTCATAACACATCTTCTGTATTGCTAGTCTTTTTCCTATGGATTTTTTTTTCTGACTCAATTTGGTCCTCAGTATAAAATCATAACTGGTTCTTACAGTACCAACTCTGTCTTTTTCTCTGAACTTGGCTGCTGGCTCTGATTTACTTAGGAGAGAATGTCCCTTGAGTAAATACTATATGGTTTTTAAAATAACAGAGGCACCACTGGAGACAAAGGTTGGATTGGAAAGTAAATGTAAACTTGAAGTTTAATTGCACTTTATGTCTTAATATAATTTCCTAGCCAGGGATTTAAAACACTCTACCACTGAGCTCCAACTTGCCTTTCCAGTTTTGTTGTTGTTCCTTCCTCTCTACTATCTGTGTGGGAGAAAATGTGCAGTCCTTTGGGGTCAGTTGAAGTATGCATGCAAAGGCATTCACTTTGCAAATATTATACACAGTTATAGGGATAGGTACAAGGAACACAACAAAGATGAAAAACAGTAATGATATGTTGATGCTGTCTCATTGCATTGAGAAGCTCACAGTCCACTGTAAGACTTTCATAAATATAATTATAACATGGCAAACATGAAGAAATAGAAATGCATGTGACATGAATCCTCCTGATTCTTCCCAATGTACCTGCTTTTACCTTAAATGCCCCCTGATAAAAAGCCTGAGTACTAAAAGTGTGATTGTCAGCCAGTGGTGCTGTTAGGGGCCAGTGGAGAATTTCAGGGCTTGGGCCTGGAAGAAAGAAGTTAGATCAACATAGCAGGTCCTTGCAAAGGATACTGGGACATCAATCCATTCCTCTGCCCCTCGCTTCCTCTTATGCACTTCCTTTTTCTGCTGCTTCCTTGTCACATGCTCCCTCCATGATATGTCAGCTCATTGTGGACACGAAAGAAACATGCTAACCAAGCATGGACAAGAATCTCCAAACCGAACTCAAGCAACCTTTTCTTATTTTAAGTTCATTATCTAACTTTGTTTCCTCCATGGCCCCAAAGTGGATTAAACAACGCCTCACACTTTAACTCTTTCCACAGACAGACAGACAGACACACACACACACACACACACAGAGAGAGAGAGAGAGAGAGAGAGGGAGAAACCAAGTAAACAGATATGAATAAGGAATCACCCCAGTCTAGCTTCAAGCTCAGAACCCTCCTTTCAGTGTCCTGAGGGCTGGGATTACAGACACACTCACCATGACAGACTCAAATGCCGTCTTCCATGGGGTTTCTCCATCTCCTCTCCTGCAGCCCATTTCTCCCCAGGCACGGGTTTTTATATCTCCACCCAAGCCCCCTTTCTTAGAGTCTCCAGCATCTCCCCATGTCAACTGAACGCCCCTGCCTTGTGCACTCTTCGCTTCCTCACAGAGTACCCCGTAGTAATCTCACATTGATCTGTGAGAACATCTGAACTTAGTGCCCACTTCTGTTCTAAGAGTAAGCAGAGACCAGAACTATTTCTGCTCACAGCTAATGCTCAGAAGAGGTCCCAAGACACAAGTCCTAAAAGGAAGTCCTCCGAATAATGACATGGGGAAAGAGCAACGCACTTTCCCTGGAAGAGGGCTGGCATAGTGTCACCATGGTGGATGCATAAGGGTCATGCCTTTGGGTCTTGAAGGATACATAATCATTTCTCAAGCAGGAGGAACACACAGAAGCAAGCAGAGAGAAACTAAACAGTCTGTTGCTGCTCACTGTGTTTGAAGCTGGGGCAGAGAAGAGTGACATGTCAGACACAAGGCTGGAGAGACTTGAGGACAAGCCATGGAGGGCCTCTTGTGTTCTGTGAAACAATTTGGATGTGTGCCACTGGAAATCAGTGAGGAGTTGTAAAAGGAGAGTGAAACAATGATCAGATTTACATTTTAGAAAAATCACTCCCGGTTATGTGAAGAATGCCCTTGATGGGTTGATATAAGACACGGGGTGAGTAGTTGAAAGACCATGTGACCATGCTACCACTCTATGTGAGAGATGTACTTGTGAGCCAAAGGAGTGTGAACCAAAGCAGGGATCAAGGAGTTGACACTTTCAAAAGAGGTGAAAATGAAAGGTTTGAAAATAAAGCCAGTGAATACCACCCTCTGACTATTCCTACCCCATCCAACTTTGGGTGAGCTTTAGAGATGAGAACTCAGGTCCTCACTCTTGAAAGGTAAAACCATGTCTTCTCTGAAACCATGTCTTCTCGGAGCCATGTCTCTTCAGGACACAGAGCCTTATTTTGCAAGGCACTTATTCTATCCCATAATATTACAGGCCTTCAAGTGGAATTACTACAAAGACACCTCACCTGTCTTGACCTGCAGACAAAGTCTAGAATGATAGGGGAGACTGGATACTCTTTAACATATGGGAAGCACTGTGCCTAGAGAAGCTCTATGAAGACAAGCCTGGACCCACATCTTGGCCCTTGCTCTTACTAATTGTGGAACTGTGAGCCACATGTGAACCACTATGAAACAGGCCTGTAATCATAGCCATCTTGACCAAGGCAATTCTTGCTGCTCTGAAAGACAAATCACACATCTCAGAGCTTGGCCCAAAGAAGACTCAAGGCTCACTCAGCACACAAACTCACAACAGATTCAGCCTCCCTCCCTTGTTTCATGGCTCTCTTTCCCCTATGATGTTGAAGTCTCTTTGTTTATAACTCATCATCCCCTTCTAAGGCCTATGATAGAAAAGGCACCCTGGATTCCTAATCACTTCAGTGGGGTGGACAGACACTGCCTATCACCAGAGAATAATTGCTTGACCTCAACTAGATGCAAAGGATTCTGGAAAATGTTGTACTTCTTAGCAATCACTTCCCAAGAGAAAAGCTACACATTGGATATGGAGAAACAATCAATAATAATCCTCTTTGCTTGATGTGAGGACAGCTGGTCCATGGACCTTACAGTATATGGGACCTAAGGAGCCCTGAATAATATTAGCCTTCTTCTCGATTAGTGCCCTCCCCTTCATCCTAAACATGCTTCTGCTGTGTTCCCAGTAGACCTTACATCATCCCACTTCTGTCTCTGTTTACATTCTTGCCTTCTTATATAAAAAACCTCAGGGCAATTCCTTTCTTCATCAAAGCTCCACCAATTCTACCTGTGGTCTCAGCAATCTCCTGGACAGCCTTCTCTAAGCTTTATGGCCAGATGAAACTCCTGGAAGTCTAGCAAAATGCTGGTAACCCTTCCATTTAGCACTTAGCAGATGTCTGTTTGGGATCATACCAACATTGAGTCCCACTCTTTCTGAGAAAGCCTCAGATACAGTTTCCCTGAAGGCAGCCACTGACCTCTAATCTCCCTCACTGAGAATAATGGAAAGAGTAAATGCTACTAAGACTGGAAGAGAAGATACCAGCACATACAGAGTTCTGAAAAATCCTCCCAGGGAATAAAGAGCTAAACATGTACTCAAATAATTATGAGGATATAATTTAGTTATTTAAATATTCAGATAATGGCTACCTGAATTGTTGGGTTAACGCTACATGTCTTTATTTTATTTTACATAAGCACAGGATAACAAGGTGGTGAGGTCTGCTTATGTGTACAGTACACACTTAGTAAAAAAGGTGACACATCCTCAAATGTTATGATAACCAAGAAAAGCAAATGTTGAAAGGCTTCTTTAAGAAGTCTCTATGTGTGCGAAGCAAGGTGGTGATGTGGAAGGTTTCGGGGTAATTTGATAAATGTCAACAGTTTAAACTATTTAAATCTATCCATCAGGTGAGGGAGGAAACCACTCTTGGTTTGTCTGAGCAGGTGCCAAGCTCTTCTTTTTCTGTTTAGATACAGATACTTCCTGACAGTAAAAGAGAGGTGGGGGAGAATGAAGAGGAGGAGGAGGAGGAAGAGAAGCAAAGGAGAGAGGAGGGTGGGTAAATATCTGGATTTAGGTAACTCTCCCCAACTGCCTGTGTCTCCATCTCCCTCTCCCTCACAGCTATATACCTAGTCAAAGCTATGTAGTTCCTAGCCTCTGTAGTAAATTGCAGCCTCTAGTAAATTGCAGGTATAGGTGTGCTGTCGTGAGACTCCTCTCAGCCTACTCTCCTCATACTGACTGCTCCAAGATGGTCTTAGAATTCTTGAAGGACAGGATAAGCACCCTTCTACCTCAAGCATCTTCAGCTGGAGAGAACAGAGACACCTTTAGCATCCACTCTACATCCAAATATACATTCAACCCAGGACCTTCGATGACAATCTTGAGCTTATCAGGACACCAGGACTCCAGCCTTTTGACTACATCCTGAGACCTACCTTCCCTAGGGCAGGAAGACCACCATCATAAAGAAGGAGGGAGGTCCAGTGGGTCCCATGGTCATGAATAACACTCTTCATGTCTAGACTAGTATCAGGGGTCCTTCAGGGGTCACAGAGGTTCACTAATATGTTCTGCTCACCCTACTTTCTATATAAAGGAGATGGGGAATAGTGTAGATTAGACAATACCACATCTCAAAACCCCTCTGACTGTCATGGGGCAGACAATCCTCTGAAGCACTCTCTATAAGGAAACACATGCCTTCACAAAAATATTTCTCAAGAAACTATTTGGGAGTGATATAGGTGTTAACATCTTTTATCTGGAAACTATGAGTAGTTTCATGTTCTCAGGGACCTGGGTTTGGAATCAGAGGGATGGGTTGAGTTGCAGTTCTACGCCCTTGTGAGTTGTATCATCATAGGAAGTAATTCCCAAGCCTAGATTCCCTCTATTCAGTTCATGACACCATTTGTAAACCCACGTACCCTGCAGCACTGTATAAGGAGAATGTGTATGAAGTTCTGCCTTGAAGGCCGGCAGGCAAAAAATACACACTGTTCAACAGAACAGTAAGTCTGCAGCTGTCTTAACATCTGGTAGTGTTTCAAAAAAAAATCACAGCATTAAAGCATGGTGGCACAAACAAGTTTTCTGCTTTTGAAAGAGAGAGAAAACAGGGCTGGCCAGACTGCACCATGTGCAACCATGTCAACCAGTCAGACAAGCTGGTAGACAGTACATTAGACTCACATTTATGGCCCTGGAATTCACCAAATTGCCAAGAAGGCCAAGAAATAGGATATTATCCACAGCACACAGAACATTCCTTTGCTTCATCTGCTTGATATCAGACCTTAAAGGAACAGACCCTTTATCCTGAAGACCAATAAATGACAAAGACTTCATCATTTGACATTGACATATTTACAGAAAGACTATTTGACTAGTAAAACACTTGTGTTAATAATAATTATGATTGAAAACTAGAGTGCACCAGAATATACACCACCATGGAAAGTGGTGAAGTTAGTTCACTGTCGAGAATCTCTCTCTCTCCACTCAGAGGACTTTTCTAGAAGACACCATGGCCATCATTCTGTATTGCCCAACAGTGCAGCAGGAAGGCTGACTGTTTTATTCTGAAGCCTGCTTGCTGAAGGATCCTGGGTTGCCTGATTTCTGCCTCACAGATGACACAGTAAACAAGTACTGCAATAAGAGGCTTCTGCCTCCCAGGTGAAGCTTAGGCTTCTCTAAGATGATGTGTCAGTAGGATGCCCACTATGTTTCCTGGACATCTAAGTAGTCACTTGCTTTCTGTAAAGTTGGTTTTGTTCATATCCACTCTGGTGGGTTTTTAAAACAGTCTCATGTAGTACAGGGTGGCCTTGAGCTAACTGTGTAACTGAGGATGATCATGAACTCCTAATCCTCCTGCCTCTAGCATCCTACATGCTAGTATGTGCCATCATGTCCGGTGTTCAGTGCCAAAACTCAAACCCAGAGCTTTGGCATGCTGGGAAAGTACTCTGCAAACTGAGATATACTCCTAGGCTACCTTTCTGATATTTAAACTTAGTTTTAAGTACTTGCTACATGGTTCAAAGAGAGTCACATGGCTTGCTTTAGAAGGAAATGTGATTTTCTCTTCATTCTAGATAAGGATGTCATCAATAAACTAAAGAAAGAATTCTGCTGGGCATGATGGCACACATCTTTAGTCCCAGGCAGATCTCTCAGTTCAAGGATAGCCTGCTCTACAAAACGAGTTCCAGGACAGCCAGGACTATTACATAGAGAAACCTTGTCTCTAAAAACAAACCACCTTCCCACCCCCACCTCCCAAAAAAGGAGTCCACTCAAATACACCTCCTCACTGAAGAGTCTGACCTGCAGTGTGAAGACGCATGTGTTCCACTGTGGAAGTCTCATGAATGTTACCACTTCTCTACTGTCTTGGAGGCCCACCCACCCTAGCCTTCCCCTACCTACATAACTTCAGGGAGTGTGTGTGGTGGGGGGTGCACATGAGCCTCACCGCTCCTCCCCTGATCCTGTGAGGATCTGATGATTGTGACTGCTCTTCCTCAAGCTGGAAATAGCAGGTCCAAACCAAAAGAAACAGCAACTCACCAGCCAACTCGAGTTCTCACTGGTCTGTGGTTGGGTCACTGCTAGCAACAAAAGCCTTTGTAGAATTATGTTTATGCTGGAAGGCCCTCTATCTGGTTCTCATTGGCATTCCTCTACTCTACCAGCTTTGATTCTAATGGTGTTTCTGCTTGTCTTTAGCCTATGCTAGTTGTAACAAACAGCTGAGTCTAGGGCTCAAGAAGATAGAAAAGGAAACAATGCAGCCAAGCTAGGTTACTTTGAACAGGTGACAGAAACAATCCATTTCAGGTAATTATAGCCATAATAAGATGGAGGAAAGTAGTCAAGTGTTGCTAGAGGTTCCATGCATCAAGAAAAGTTTGATAAGGTTGTAAGTACCCAAGTAATACACACTGAATGAATTAATATGTATATTTAGGTTTCCATTTGAAACCTGTAGGTATTAAACTTTAAGCAGTCATTATACCGTAGCAGATAAACCAGAACAAGGATTCTAGAACCAGACTACATGGTTCAATAACTAGTTCTTGCCAGCAGCGGAGGCACAGGCCTACCATCCCAGTAGTCAACAAGTGCAAGCAGAAAGATTAGGAGTTCAAGGCCAAACTTGCCTGTATGGCAAACTGAAAGCTAGCTTGGGCTACATGAGACTGTGTGTCATAAACAAGCAAACAAAAAATTCTGCTGTCTCCTATCAGCTATAGAGTTTGTCTCCATTTGTTCAGCCTCTAAAATGCAGAAGAATGAGAGTACCTAGTTTACAATATTGTTTGAGAAAGGTGTGTGTGTGTGTGTGTGTGTGTGTTGCTGGTAATGAAAGATTGTCATCATACATGCTATACAAACATTCTACCACTGAACTACATGGCCTCCCCCAGCTGCATTTCTTACTTGTCATTGCTTTGGTAGTATTGGTGTTTCTGCCCTGAATAGCCTTGGACTCATGACCCTCCTACCTCAGGCCTTGAGTCCCAGGCTACAGGCATGTCTCACCATGTCAACTGGACTCATTTTTTTTAGAATAATTTTAAGTCTTAGAGTAACACCTATGTAAACAAGAAAATGCACTTCAAAATGCTTGGGATCTCATACATATTCCTTCACTTTTAACCCCACCATAATTTGAGATGGAGGAGTAACCCCATAGTGAAGGAATGTGTGCCCCTATAGGTCCTCAGGACTCTTGTCTGGTAATAGCTATACACAGCATTTACAAAGTGTCAGATGGCTTACCCAATAGCATCCTCCATAAAATAACATGCCCAGAAACCCAGGGAAACTGAAAAAAAAAAGAAAGAAAAAGAAAAAGAAAAAAATGAAGTCTCAAATCCACATTTGCAATAGGCCTTGTAATTCCATAACTCAATAACTAAGTGAAATAAAAATTTGATTCAAACCAATGTGTGTATTATTTCAATCAATAAATGAATTGTCTGAAAGTAACCAAGGTGAGTTAAGAGGTACCTTGACATTCTATAAAGTCCATTCCTATGCATTCTCTTTTACTGACTTCTTAATTGTGTTTTGAAACAGGATTTCACTATGCAGCCTAGGCCAGCCTTGAATTCATAGCAATCTCACTACCTCGGCTTCTAGGATGCATTAGCCACCATACTGGCTAACTTTTTAACAACACCTTGTAGTAATTTACTTTCCCTTCTGACTCCAAGGCCTTTCTTCCAGGAAATTGACCAGCATATTACCTGACTATCCAGGCCTGTGGGCTAGAAACTAGTTAGGGACAATCTGTCAACCTTTACTTAGATTTTCCTGGTTCTTGTTGGCCTAAGGCAGATCCTTCATGTTGTTTAAACAGAGGAGGCTATGTCAAATTTCTTGGTAGATGGATTTTATAGTAATAATTTTAAAATAACAATGAGTGGCATCTGGAGATAGCTTATCTGGACAAGTCAGAACTTCTAGAAAAAAAGGTCAGAGGAGCCCCAGCCATTTCTCTTCCCTGAACAACAGAGGTAGTTTCTCCCATGCTGCGCTAGTCTGCTTTTAATAAAGTGTAGACAGTATCAAAGAGGCCTCATTGTTTAGGACTCCGATTATTTCGGTCTTGGGCTCTTTTTAGGAGCTGTGTCTATTGAATGTTTGGGGTGCAGAATGGCACTGTCATCAGAAGTACCTACCCTTACATTGGAATTCTTCAAAATCCGGAGCCAGGATGACTCCATTGCTGATGTCCCTGCTTTGCAAGCATGAAGACTTGAGTTTGAGTTCCCAATGCCCAAGTCAAAGAAGAACAGACTGCTTGCTGTTGTAAGCCCTGAGCTGGGACAGGAAAGTGGGGACAGGTGGCTGGCTCCCTGAAGCTTGTTGAGGGTTGAGTAGGCAAATTGAAAAACTCCAGGTGAGACCCAGACTCCAGTGAGAGACCCTGCCTTAAAAGTGGGATACAGGGAGATGAATCAACAGTAAAAGCCTGGTGAATGGCCTTAGATCCCTAGTACCCACAGAAAA